ATTGGATTTTGATCAAGATTACATGAAAAAATATAACAGGAGAGACGAACGCAGGTGTCGAAAGATTCGATCCCCGGATCTCTCCTCAGAGGCAACTATCATATACGCAATTACTTGAAAAAGTTTTCAGCAAAACGGGTCATCTATTTCTTTTTTGTTTTATCGTCTTCGGAAATTTGTAGAAACGGGCCACGTTGCGAACGCGAAAGAATTGCCACCTCTCTTTCTGCGCGTAACGAGTCGTTCCTTTCTGACTTCCTGTCTGGTTCGCACACGTGTTCCCTCCTTCCCAATTTTCAATTACGACGAAAGTTCGTCCCCCCGTCCCCATCCTCTCCCAACGCAAACGACAAAAACCTCGACCCTTTGTCCCGTTCACCGGCAAAGACCAACCGATGTCACGTATTCTTTTCTAATCCAGCTTCTATCCGCAGACAGGAGAATCAAAGTAACATTAGTACCACCCAACACATCTCGACACCAGCCACATTAAACTAATGAAACCCCTGCTTTCATGATTAAAACCCCCTAAACCCCATGATTAAGAAGACCATTCTCCTGTCGGATGAGCGAGCGAATTTTAAAAAAATTGGCCGCTGAACAAGAGATGGAAGAAAGAGAACCGTATCATTATACTAATGAATGTTGCTCAACCACTGATGTGGTCCGACATGGAGTGCGTGGAGGCATGTCTTGAGCCTCAAGTCCTTTCGGCTCTTTTGGCTCTTTTGGCCCTTTTCCCATTCACCTAACACTTAATGCGTCGGTGTCCCCCCACTACCTTTGCCCTAATTGCTTTATTAAGAGGAGAGAATCGATTAATTCGATTCATATGTCAATTTCCACATTCCTAGTCCCATGATTTCTTACATGATGGAAGCTCAATCTCATGTAATTTGATGTGACACCATTGCTCAAAGGAAAAGCCCACGACTCTATCAAAGCTGTAAAATCATCCGGCCAATGTTGATGTCTTTACGGAGCGATTATAATCGATAGTTCATGCTCATTCATCTTCTCTGGTACCCTTTTGACTTAGGAAGCAAATGCAAATCAATACAATTTGAAAATTTTGTCAATCAACAGTGGATGCTCTGATCATGATTCATTCGCGTCTTAATGGCTTTTGAACAAGTCGAACTAACTTTAGCTGGTGCGACATGCGTGCGCGATCGCGAAGACCACGATCCATGCATAGATGTGGATCAGAGACATTTCAATTCTTAAGATCAGTCTCGATTATGATACCGACGTAGGCAATCCCGCTTGAATCCACCTGTTGCATGAAAACTTTCCCTTCAACTTCTAGCTTACTTGCGCCCGCACAAGTTTCGAAAATGTGTAATCCCAATCTAAGGTAGCGTGAGAATTTCAACCAGTGCGATAGCTTATACATTTGCATTGTGAAATCAGATAATTTTTTTTTGTTTGTATGATGGATAATATGAGAGAGCAAACTAATTCTTCCGTCCTTAATCATTGGATCTGTCCCTATACAATGTGACAAAGCTTCTAAGGAAAGCAAATGGAGGTGTTGATTCACTATTTTAAACTGAGGATTACAATGTACATGTACAATGTACTCATCAAAACATGACTTATAAAAATCCACATTAATCATGTTCCTCAGATCTCTTCGGCGACAGAAAAGGACAAGAGTCGAAGGGAAACACGCCACGTACACTTTGGAGGCGTCGGCGACGGTGATCTGTATCCCAGAGAGAGACGAGAAAGTTCGTTGACTTGGGCTGAAACGGCTGACGTTTAAATCGGCGATTTTTTACGCATAGTCGGCGAGGCAAGACTTTCTTCTTCTTATCTCCTATACACATGCATATATATTATATATAAGAGTTAATACCATGAAAAATCCTAAATTAATTTTTTGATCACGAAAAATCTCAAATCAGTATATTTATGATAAATTTATCCCAAACTAATTTTTTGACCACTAAAAACCCCAAACCTAAACAATTGTGATAAATTTATCCTTCGTTAGTTTTTCGTTAAATTGAATTAACACAAAAAAAATACAAACTAGTACACTTGTGATAAACGGAGAGTAAAACATAAAATCGGTACATCCGTCAACTGCTGCATGTCATTTAACAAAGCAATTTGACGGTAAAATTTAACGGAAATAAACTGGGGGTAAATTTGTCACTGGTGTACCCGTTTGGGGTTTTTTGTGGTAAAAAAAATTAGTTTTAGGTAAATTTTTCACAGATGTACCAGTTTAAGGTTTTTCGTGGTATTAACATTATATATAAATGCGGGGGTTCCCTGGGTTACCAAAAAAAAAAACATTATATATAAATAACCCACCTGCGCATGGCCGAGTTGGTGGGTGCTTTCCTTCCCTTCTTAGGGGTTCTGGGTTCGAATCCCTGCTCGGTTCCGTAATTTAAGTGGGGGGTTCCTGGCGGTGGGTTGCTGGACTAGTCTCCCCCGAGGTATAGGCGCCCCAATTACCTGTGCGGGCTCGTCCCCGGGGAATGGTGGCGGATCCTCGGTTACCAAAAAAAAAAACCATTATATATAAATACATTGGAAGTCCCTAAAACTTGTCACGAATATGCAATTAAGTCTTAAAATTAAATTTTATAACTTATCACAAAAGTGTAATTGAAAACTTTCAGAAAGTACAATCAACAGAAGAACTTGATAGGATCAGCTTGACAACTTTTGGGATTTGATTGCATTTTTTGAAAGTTCTAGGACTCAATTACACTTTCGTGATAAGTTTCAGGACTTAATTGCACTTTTGAAAATTTTATGACGCAATTGCGTTTTCGTGACAAGTTTTAAGACTTCGAATTCACTTTAGAGATGATAATTTATTTAATGTGGGGCCCATTTTTCTGGAAACCCGGTCTGGGGGCGCCATAAATATTTGAAACAAAGGCATGATAATAAAATATTGGACCAGGGCGGGCATGCATGGGACAATGATGATATCCTTCATGACATGAAATTATCGAAAGGCGAGGGAGGGTCCATCCTTCTCTCCCAAGCTTTAATCGAGTATTGCCCATTAATTGCTCGACGAAATGCCTCCATCCACCTAACGTCGCTGTCCTTCCCAATTTCCTTTACGTGTGAAAGTTCCAAAGAATCGTGCGAAAAAAGTGAGGCGCGTGTTAGAGATTGGACTGGTGCTATTTCGCAAGATGCTGTGCTCGTGCAAAAGTTCTGTTATTGGAGGCAAAAAGAAAAAAAAAACAAGTATTTGATCTCGGCGGTAACTTTATCTCAAATTAAAGGATATTAAACATATCATATGGTGGCCAATTCAATCATAAACTTATCGATTTGGAAAATTTAGTTATAAACCTTTGACGATTTTTCAATATAGTCATTCTAACTAATTTTAGCTGAAGATATCTGACGTGGATGATTTTGGCAATTTTTTTTTTAAAATTTTCTGAATTTTTTCCTTTTTTTTTCTATCCTTCTATTTCCTTTTTCCCTGTGGCCTGTCTCGACGATGGCCGACAATCGGCCACAGGCGAGGGCAATGCTCACTCGGATTCAGTGAGGGCCTAGTGGGGGCATCGCAGCCATTGTTGAGACCGACCACAGGCAAAAAGGAAAACAAAGAAAGGGAAAAACAAGAGAAAATTTAGAAATTTTTTTAAAAAATTTCTAGAATCGTTCACGTCAGTGCCGATCGTGCTTGATATCAGACCAAAATTGGCCGAAAGGATTACATCGGAAAATCGTCAAAATATTTAGAACTAAATAGAGCTTAGAATTGAATTGGCCGCCATACAATAGATTCAAGATTTTTTTAACAATTATCCCAAAATTTTAGAGAATCTCGATCCTTTTATGAAATGCTTAAAAATCTCAAGACTCGATTCCCCAATCAACTGATAAGCACATGACATTGCCCGGGCTTAGTACAACTGTTTATGTGCTCCACAATATCAAGACGAAGTGGAATTAAATCTTCCTTCGCATATATTGTATCTCTGGTGACTATATCCTGCAAATAAAAAAAATCTGGAAAAAAAAAATCCACTCATTAACAGCTTCTGGTTGCTTCCATGCTTCGGGTGCATCTGAGCCCAGTTCACTTGCACCGTCAGATGAGGTGGGACCCACGCGGCCCCGACTCATCTAAGGGTTTCTGCCCAGTTGAGCTCGCTGCATATGGAGCACGCAAGCATGTCTCTGGTTGTGGCTCGGTCTTACTTAGGAGATGGAAGACACATAATAGGTAGGTACATAATGTCGGCACAACCATATTGACTGGGCATAGGGCCCGGTGAACTTAGGGAAGATGATAAAAGCTGAATTTGGAAAAGAAAAAGCTATGTCGTACATACATACGGATTGAAGTTCGAACCACCGGATCTTGTTGTCCAACATCAGTCCTTGATTTGCCCTGTCCTACTAGGATTTTCCCTGTTTGGTCTCATCTCAAACTCATCGAGGTAAGTCATCGATCGATCGATTCAAAATATCGTACACCATACTGGTCATGCACGTTCTCTCGGCCCAAACAAGTATCGAAACGAGTTACTAACGCGCAAATGGCATAGATATATCATGGAGGTGAACCATAAGCATGACCGTTGACTTCATATGCCGAAACGAGGGCATCATTTTGTTACACGGACAAAGGAAACGAATTGAAACCATAAACTGGATACCGAAAATTCATTTGTCGGGTCGGGTTTGGATGCGAGTGGAAATCGAACCCACCCGTCGGAATCACCCAAGGCTATTACCGAAGAACGCAACCCTTGGATTAGTAAAGGAATGTTGGCAATATAAAAGAACAACCATCTTTGTCGCTGCTGGTACCGTGGGCTCCTTCGATTCTCTGTTCCTTTTTTTTTTTTGCCTTTTTAATAAAAAGAAACCGGTAATTGTCAAAAAAAGCAGTTACAATATGGGCGGGAGGAAGTTACAAAATGGGGGCAGGCGGGATCGCCGATTAATCGCCAAACGGAATGATCGCGAGTTGGTCGCCCTCTTTAAATCCCCCCACGCCCATCCTCGCTCTTGTACTCGTCAACACACACACAAGCACACACGAATAGCTTCCAGCAAAAAAGAGAAGCACCAGAAATGGCGGCACTCCCGAAGTCTCCACCGCACGGCTCGGCCTTCGACGTCGACAAGCTCACCAGCGAAATCTTCTCGATCCTCGAGAACAAGTTCCTGTTCGGCTACGACGCCCCCAACTTCGCCGCCCCGAAACCCCAGCCCGGCAAGCTCGCCGCCGGCAAGGTCAGGATCCTCTCCATCGACGGCGGCGGCGCCACCGACGGAGTCCTCGCCGCCAAGTCCCTCGTCCACCTCGAGGCTTCCCTCCGGCGGAGGTCCGGCGACCCGAACGCCCGCATCGCCGACTTCTTCGACGTCGCCGCCGGCTCTGGCGCCGGGGGGATCCTGGCCGCGCTGCTCTTCATGCGCCGGAAGGATGGAGGGGAAGGCGGCGCCACGATCGCGGCGGAGGAGGCTCTGCGGTTCCTCATCCGCCGCCGGAAGGCGTCCCGGGGGCGATTGTTCCGGCGTGGGTGGCCGGGGGGCAGGGCGGAGAAGAAGCTGCTGAGGGAGGCGTTCACGGATGAGCTCACGATGCGGGACACGGTCAAGCCGGTCCTGATCCCTTGCTACGACCTCGAGTCCCACGCGCCCTTTGTGTTCTCGCGCGCGGACGCACTCGAGATGGACGCCTGCGATTTCAAGCTGAGTGGCGTGTGCGCCGCGACGATGGCGGAGAGGCCGTTGGAGCTGAGGTCAGTCGACGGGAGGACGAGATTAGTGGTAGTCAATGGGCGGGTGGCGATGAATAACCCGACGGCCGCGGCCATCACGCACGTGTTGAACAACAAGCAGGAGTTCCCGTTTTGCAACGGCGTGGAGGACTTGTTGGTGCTCTCCCTGGGGAACGGCGGGTCGGATTTCGAAGATCCGAGCCGGTCAGGGTTCGCTCGGATCACCGAAGATGGAGCTTCCGCCACGGTACGTGAAACCCGTGTTCGGTTTTTTTTTCCTTCTCGAATTATTCATGATGTAGTAGGATGGAGCTTCTGCCATGGTTGTACGTCTAACGCATCTGAGTTCGTGTTGTTCAAATGATCAGGTGGATCAAGCTGTGTCCATGGCATTTGGTGAATCAGGAAAGCACAATTACGTCCGTATTCAGGTGAGTTGTACACGCACAGAAGGAAGAAGTCAATCTCGTGTGCTTCTTTCTTTCTTTCTTTCCATCTCTCTTCTCCAATTACATGTTTCCGCAATTGTTCGGTGCCTGATGCATTGTGACGCATGTTGTCGCAGGCGAATGGTGTCGCCGCAAGAAGGCAAGGCCTCGCCAATTATAAGAAGACCAGAGACTTACTGGAAAGCACAGAGGAGATGTTAGCGCAGAAGCATGTGGAGTCAGTACTATTCCAAGGGAAGAAGATAGGTGAGAGGACCAACATAGACAGACTGGAGCTATTTTCCGGGGAAATCCTCAGGGAGGAAGAGAGGAGGAAAACCAGCATACTGCCGACGGTGGTCCTGAAGCGGAGCTCCCCTCATTCGCCGAGAACATCGTCCTCCACTTCCCTCTCTATCTCGTCTTCGGTGTAGATTGAGAAGAAAGCTAAGGAAAGCACGGGACGGGGGTAGGCTGGCGAATGCGCTCACGGACAAGGTTTTTGGGCGGAATTTGTACTGTCGAATCGATTCATCTGTCGTGGTTCGATCGCGATGAATAGAAATCGCAACCCGAGTTCGAGCTGAAGCAATTTGTTAAGTAAAGGGGTAACTTTGGCATCCGATCCAACTCTGTTTGGTTTAACTAGATCAATCAGGTGAAGAGCTTGGTTATGAGTTCAGTGGCCAAGGAGATTAATTTTTCTTTTGTTTTTTTCTTGTCCCTCGTTGTATTGGGACAGTCGATATGGATCCTGGCATTGAGCTTTTGACTTACGGATGACATTTCCAAGTAAATTTAGAAGCACTAAGCATTATTTCGTCATGGACTTTGATAGCCTTCCTAAGAAGCAAGATAGTACTACTCTTGTCAGAAATATGCACGAAGCAGTCTTCTTGAGATGGGCCAACTGGTCAATATGAGCCTCCTTTATTGTGGATTGGCTCAGACTTCAATTCTTAGGCTCGCAAGATCCAAACCTCTAGCTCCGCGAGAGAAAACTGATTGAGAGTATGCATTTTTTAGATGTGCTATCACATCAATGATTCATATACCAAGTCTTAAAATACAACAGAATGAGTCAATTTTGTTTTATTTCCGCTGAAAGTTCATAGGAAATAACAAAAACATACTGGCGTGTAGGACTCTCTTAAAATAAAAATGCTATATGGGTTATAGAAAATAATAATACGAACAGTAGAAACCTTTTTTTTTTATGCGCAATAAAATTAATTGAGTATGGGTAAATAGTTTTTTTGTTACTGTGTCCCCACCTTCACTGAAATGACTAGTGCAACAATCAAGGGAGGGTGAATTGGTTGTTTTAAGCTTTTTCAAGAAAGACGTGAATATGCTTTTGTAGAAAAAGTTAGTTATGCAGATGTAGTAACTCGACTTTCCTTGTTTGTTACACACATGTCACATGGAATGTGCTAAGCTTGATTCTTGATTGATAGATGACTTGTATGTGAACTAATGATTTAAATTGCAAATGCCCTTATTCCTAGTCTTTCTGGGGCTAACAGATCAACCGAGAAGGGGGGGGGGGGGGGGGGTGTGTTGAATTAGGAGTGAGTATGATCTGAGTGGGCAGTTCCCACCCTAGAATCGAGAACCGCTCATTGGTTCCATAGACGCAGCCGGGAACCGGACCAGAACCGGTTCCACCAAGTTTCACACGTCCACATTGTAATATGCAACAAAGAACTACACAACGAAAAGAAATGATTCTAGATTAATTAAAATTACATCTCATCAAAGACACTTCTAGCCAGAGCCAATGAACCAACGAAATGAATGTTAAGAAGTGTGTAAGTAAGAGAGCACACTCACCAAACTTGTTATGAATGGGCAATAGCAGACACTAATCCAACATAAAAACCAGTCCGTAGCCTATTTGCATTGATTGGCTGTTAGTCAACAATCGTAGAGCCACTGTTCCCATCAAGACAGAGTCATTACATGATAAAAAGGCCTTTATACTGCTAGATAAGATTAGCGAGTTTCACATTAGGAATTTAGGATTTTTCATTTTTTTAAAAAATAAAAAATAAAAAATATAATATATATATTACTAGTCCGGTTTGGGCAGGCGGGTGGGCGGTTTCACACCTAGAACCGGGAACCAGACTGGTTTCCTTAGGAACCACCGGTTCTGGGCCGGTTCGGTCCGGTTCTTGGGTCTTTTGCACACCCCTAGGTTGAATAGGTTGATCAAGGATTATGAAAAACTTTCACAACGAGATTAAGTAGTAGCCAGCGTGTGTAAATATAGTGAACAAATACTGTAGATGATGAACTAAAGAAGAAAAGCACACAACAATTTACGTGATTCGGTTTTGTCCCCAAGCCTATGTCCTCTATCCAAATAATAGCATTAACACAGGCTGGACTTCACTAGTAATTGTTGCGAAAATCGCACAAGTCGATATGTAAATGATGTCATAAACAACACCAGGTGATTCTGATATAAGGAGTGCTCTGCTACTGTCAAGAGTGCTCTGCCACCATCAAAAGTGCTCTACCGACATCGAGGGATAGCTGTCAATATTTGAGGTGAACAAGATATTAGGCGTTGAATATGTCTACAACTTGGTAGGGCCTTCAGATAAGGTGAAGATCCGGAATGATCTTGATCCAAGGGTGAACAAATAGAGAAGAATGGGGATGTTCATGATAACTTAAATGTATAAAGATCAAGTGAATAATTAGTTGTACCTGATGATGGTGAATAAGCCTAGAACGAGGATGTTTGGTAAAATTTGGAAGAACTATGAAGATGGATAGCTTGGTAGAGTCATAATTGACAATATGCTTAGAAAGGCCAGAAGAAAGATCAGCATGATCATTACCAAGAGCAATAAATTGTTGGCATAGGAGCAACTGCCGATATCAGAGAGGTGGAAGACGTGTGACGTCCACCTTTTGGTCTTAATCTAGTGTCTAACAATTATCTTCAAGGTTTGGAATTTGCAAAAAAATCACCAAAGTTGATCAGGAGCAGTTATGGCATTAATGAGCAAGTTGTTGGAGAAACATCCCCAAATGAATTTTGATGATATCCAAACTATTCTTGGTCTAACATCTACATTGTCTAAAGTGCAGATATATTCAAAGGATTGAGTGATACTCATAATATTATTCATTGAAGAAAAGATAATAAGACTGCCTTCAAATGATCGTATAAATAGCACCATTGATCTTAAAACATCAGCTAAATGATGATGTCTTATTAGAGCTGACGAGATCTAGTAATTGGTAATGTTTAGGAAACGATTCATTTAATATGACTGTTATGTCACTATTGTAGCCGTTGGGACTGGACAGGCACAGCAGAAGACCCGGCAGAAAGGAAAATTGTCACGCCCCGAACCCTACGGCACGCGACAACCCCTTCCATCGGTCGATTCAGTGCGACGTCCCAGGACGCGTCGCCGACCCAAAATCCAGAACAAAGAATAATGCACATGCGAAAGCAAACAAACACCCGTACATAAATGAAACATGACAAATGATAGCAATGAACATCATGAATACAAACTTACATTAATACGGAGAATTTACAATATCCATTACAACAGAACTATACATATAAATCAAAATGGGTCAGCAGCCACTAACGTCAAAAAGGGGTATGTGGTTCGGGCGGTCAGACACTATCTAAGAAGGGCTCCTATCAAAAAGTGTCGGCCCTGCCTAACTATGGTCAAGGACAAACCCTAGGGTAACCAGTTCGGGTCGGATCCCGAGGACTCGGACAAATCGTCAGACGACTCGGACTCGGAGTCCATAGAATCCGGCTCGGACTCAGCCTCCATTGGCTCCTCCTCGGAATCGTCCTCCAGCTCTGGTTCCAGCTCCATCGGCTCCGGCTCGGGATCGGACCCCCACTCCATCGGCTCCTCCTCCTCAGGATCGGAATCCATCTCGAAGATGACGGGTCAAGGATCAGAATCCTCCTCAGACACGCCTCGGGGTTGGCCACCTCCCCATTAGCTGCCTGCGGGTCCAATGGCCTAACCCGTCTATCGGCACATCAAAAGTCCTAAGGGGTCCGTAAACGCCGAACGGGTCCCGAAAACACCAGCCCAGATACTGATGAGCCTGGAACTGCGGCTCGCCCACATCGACCCAAACAGTAGTAAAATGTCTAACATAAGTCTCCCCGTTCCCAACGGGGTACTCGATCACCGATCGCTCTATGCGGTACGGGATCCCAAAACGAATCGGTGCTCCTGCCATCTTCAGGGTCGGGGGTCTAAAATGTGGGGTTTTAACAACCATGAGAATAAATCTCAGCGAGTAGGCCCCCTAAACCTAAACTAGGCTAACATGCACCTCCAGAACAAGCATCTAATCAAATAACAGTCTAGCAATCAAGTGACTCAGGCTGAATACATTCTTGACCCTGCAGGTTAGGCACATAATAACAATGCTAATATCGCAGGACCCAATCATGGCACATACACAAATCACTTAGCCACAAACACATACTATGCACATGCTTACACTCGTTAATGCACTATTGCACATGTGCCAACTTTCAATTTATTCGCCGACCTGCGTAAAACGCATCAGGTCCGACCCGCGTAAAACGCATTAGGTCCATCACTTTTCGATCGATCTCCGGCCCTCGTAAAACGCATCAGGCTCATAACACAACCTGCGTAAAACGCATCAGGTTGGCCATCTTCCTGTAGTCTAGGCATTGTCCCGCGTTAAACGCATCAGGACGGGTTCAATACCCCGCGTAAAACGCATCAGGATTTATGTGATCACACGTACACATACCACCAATTATTATCTGAACCCCGCGTAAGATGCATCAGGGCAATTTAGGTGTTCACATGCTCAATGCCATTCATGCAGACTCACATGATGCACATGTTATGCCAATACTTGATATGCACATTCATGGCCATAACATCCACACTCGGCATTCGTAAAAACTCACACTGGGCACTCAATTTAACTTGGCCACATGCTCAATTAATGCCACAACATGCTCAATTCACATCTTAACATGCCCAGTGAACCAATTAATCCAAATCAGCCACAACATATAATTGGCACTCGAATTCATGCGATTAAATCAGTATAATTACGCACACTCAAGGCCCGCCATGTCCCTCAATTCTCGGCCACATTAGTCCTCAACGTGGCATCACATAATTAATCACAAATCATGCACAAATCAGCCACCACGTAGGCAATCAAGGCACACTCGGCAATTCACAATTAAACCACAATTTAGCCGTACAAAGTCCAATTCGGCCCACCATGAACAGCCACTAATCAGCCCACTCTAGGCCACTAATCCACCTTCTAATTATCACATTAGGCCATCCAAATCATCACATTAGCAAGCCTAGTCACCAGCCAACTAATTAACCCCTAAAACGCCCTAATCAAACCCTAAACTTGCCTAAAATGCATTAGAGCCTAATTAAGGGTTAGGGTTTCCACTCACCAAATTTCCTAAGCTCCAAAGGGTGTCGGTCAAGGGAAAAACGGGCTGGGCGGTGGCTGGTTCACGCCGGGCTGACAAGGAACTCCGGCGGCTCCACGGGCGGCGAACGGCGGTGTACGGTGGGTGGTGGTGTCTCGGCTGAGCTAGATGGCGTGAAGGGGTGATGTGATGGTGATGGTGGTGGTGACGCATGAAAATGAAGGGAGAGAGAGGAAGGTGAGGTCGGCTGAGAGTGGCGGCGGCGCAAGAGGTGGCGCGTGGCCGGTGGTGACGTGGGCGCACACGGCCAAGGGTGGCGGACGGTGCTGGTCGATGGGGGTGACGGCGAGAGAGAGAGAGAGAGAGAGAGAGAG